AAGTGTCATTCTGGTTTGTCTGTCTCTTTGCCTGTCTGTCCTTTCATTTTTCTTTTCTTTGCTCATCTTATTTCTTCTTCTACTTCACGTGCTCATGCTCTTAGTCAATAGTTCTGTGACAATATATATATAATTTTTCTTTTTGGCCCGGCCGGGCAAGTGGTCCCGGGCCACTCTGGTAGCCTAGCCCTCATCATTATTATTATTATTGCGATTTATTGTTGCTGTTACGAAGGTGGTGGTAGATGGAGGGACAAAAAGGAGACGAGGTGGGGAATGCTAATAAAAAGATGGTGGAGAAAATGAAGTGGAAGATGGAGGAAGATGGAGGAAGAGGAGGAAGAGGAGGAAGAGGAGGAAGAACAAGTGCCAAGGCAAGTGAAGAGGAAGACTACCGGCTTTCGTGAAGCACAACACACCCCGAAGACGAATGCATATCTTACCGGTTGAATACAGTCGTGATGAGGGTGCATTGTGTTGGGGGAAGACTGTAGAGCGCAGGAGCAGGAAGGAGAAGAAATAGCCGAAAGACGAAGAAGCAGCAGCAGCGGCAGCAGAAGATCAAGAAGAAGAAGCAGCGAAGACGAAGAGGAGGAGGAGGAGGAGGAGGGGAAGAAGGAGAATAATAATAATAAGAAGAAGAAAAAGAAGACGAGGAGGTAAGTGGCTTGGAGGGTGCCCAGGTTCAAGTTCTGATGGGGCTTGGAAGGTTCCCAGGTTCAATTTCTGATGTTGATCAAAGGGGTCAGTCTTGGTCATGCGGGGCTGAGAAAGACCGTTGCAGTGTAAAGCTTGTGCACCAGCGGTTGTCAGTGCAGCTCGTTATGGCAACTCGTCCCCTTATGCAATTCTTTCATTTTGTTTCTTTCAGGAGCTACACTAGGATTGTGGCATTTGCAAGAGCCACTTTTTGGACATGGCCCACTTTCCACACCTGCGCTCAGCGCTCTCAGTGCTATGCCCAGCTAGGATTCTGAGTAGCTTGTCTGCGTCAGCATGGCCCTCACCTTATCGATTATCCCCTCACATAAGTTGTCTACCCGTCGACAAGGTGGGACTGTCCTGGATGACGGACAAGGTCGCCAGGAAGTCGGAGATTGTAGATCGAGTGGGAAACCCAATTGAAAACCCAAAACAGATGAAAGAGAACATGCAAAGACCCAATCAGTGGACCATTCTTATGCAGACGCCTCGGCTGTATCCCAGACGTTATGAAGAAGATGGGGTGTATCTCAGGCGTCCTTTTTCTTTCCATTTTAAGAGGGGAAACAAATAGAACCACACACGCCAGTATCATGGGACACGGCAATGCCACTGGTATGACAAACTGGTTCACCATTTTTGATTAACCTGTCCCAAGTCCTCTCGTTGCATTTGGGTTGGCGTCTCTCAGCTCTCTTTTCAAAATCACTGACGGTAGACAGGAACCGAAGCGGACACCGGACACATGAACGTGTCTACAAAGGTTAGCAGAGAGATGGGCTGATAAGTACTGCAGGGGTCCATGATTGTGGCTGTCTTGAGCTGTCCAAAATGCAGGACCTTCCTTAAGCCTATTTGGAATAGGGAAGTTTTGGCACCTGTTCGTGGATCCAAAGGACACATGAGCATGTGTGCATGTGCGGATTTGTACTGCTTTATAAGGTGTTTCTTTGTGTTTGCTAACGGGATTGGTTCGGACCCCTGGGGCTGGCTATAAGGGATGCCAAGTCATTCCGACCATTTTCATTTCTGGGGTGTCATTGTTCCTTCACGATGCAGAACAGTTGCGTTTGCTGTACGTGTTCTGCTTCGCCAGGCACATCTTCTTCTCCCTTCGCCCACCTTTTCAGCTCTTAAACCACCGCTACAAGAAGGCTGTGGAATGGTCAATCCAACTGTCCAACGGAACAAGGACAGGCCTCTTGATAACTGGAGCGTAAGGTAAAAGGTTGGTAGTTAGTGGTGGTTAAATCGTTCTGGTTAGCCATTGCAATGGCTATCTGGGCTATTATGTGTAGGTCTTTTTCTCCCCTCTTGTCCTCCTCTATTCCTCTTTTTCTTATTCTTTCCTTGTGGTGTCTCTTTTCCTCTGCTTCCTTCCCTTCTTTTTTGGTGCGTTACTCGGTTTTGTTGGTACATCCTTGCAAAATGAAGTAATGACATTGCGAAGTCGGTCATAAAAAGTGACAATGATGTACTTTAACCCAACTGGTGCCCTTGTGACACGGCTTATGGTCAACTTCATCATTCAGTGCTTGGTTGCTGGCGCGGTTCCTGTTCCCTGTGTTCTTGCCTGCACTTCTGGTGGAACCTAATGGCTCTTGGTGATTGCTGCCTTCTGCGTGGTCGGTTTCCTTTGCATGGATTGTTCGTCTCTGTCAATGCCCCTCCTTCGTTTCCCCTGTATCTCTCCCTCCATGCCTCCTTCGCTCCCTACCTCTCCCTCCTTCCCTCCCTCCCTCTCCTTCCCTCCCTCCACCCTCTCTCCCTACGTCTCCCTCCCTCTCGCTCCCTCACTCCTCCCTCGCTCCTCCCTGCTGCCTGGTCGTTATTTTTTATTTGTGGAGGATTGCAGTTGATCAAGTGACTTGTGACCGAAAGATCAATGAGTCAATTTGCTTGCTTACTGAGTATGGAGACATTCAACGACGACTGGTAGCTCTCATTGGCCATCTCAAAATGGCATATTTATGATGGTGATGGTGGTTTTGATGATGATGATGATGATGATGGTGAAGGTTGTGATAGCGATGATGATGAGGGCGTTGGCGCTGATAATGATGATGGTGATGACGATATGGTTATGATTATGATTATGATTATCATATAGTGATGAAGAAGATGGAATTAGAATACACCTGGACGTATTCCCCAAAGGAGTTGGAGATTCACCTGCCATTCATTTATGCTGGCGTGCAGAATTAGCTACTCCCTGTTCTACTGCTCTGAAAAGCCAAGGCTACTGCTGCAGAGAAAATGTGAGGATGCTCATTTCCCAACAGATCAGATGCTGAGAAGATTTCCTGCAGTGCAGAAAGGAGATGATACTTGAGAGTAATTAAGGGCATGGAAAGGAACCGTGAGGAATACAGGGGGCGCCTCTCCGGAGGGATACATGACAGGAAGGTCCCTCTGAATTCCCGAGTGTGACATAGGATACAGAAGTGGAAAGCCATCATGAATGATTCCTCTGGATTGGACATTGTCTGTTGGAAAAGAACAGGCAATTACCTGCCTGGTTGGGCCTGAGTGTGTGTGTGTGTGTGTGTGTGTGTGTGTGTGTGTGTGTGTGAGAGAGAGAGAGAGAGAGAGAGAGAGTAGGGTCACTGGAACTCGTATGAGGTGCTGTCAAGCGAGTTTGTTCCATTAGTAGTCTTGTAAGGACATGGAAAGCTAAAATGAAGCACTGAGGAGAAGGTGAAGGCTGAAAAGGTGTACTTTCCAAAACCTTTGTCCCTGTTATCTCTGGAAGAGGGCGATGGGAGTTTGCATAATGCATGGAACAACTGCGAAGGGAGACGAGATCCAGAATAAGCATCATCCTCGGGAGAGTCGTTGCAAGTGGAGACGGTCTGTGTCTGTCTGTTCGTCTGTTTGTTTGTCCTTCTGTCTGTCCATCTGCCAGACTGTCTGTCTGTTTGTCTGTCTGCGCGCCTGCCTGCCTGCCTGTCTGCCTGTCTGCCTGTCTTCCTGCCTGTCTGTCTGACTGACTGACTGACTGAAAAGCATCATCCTGGTCTGTGTTCACATGTACAATAGGAAAAAATTATGATTTATCCAACAGGAACAATAGTACCAGGCACATTCAGGTCTCTCGACGACCTCAAGCGTTTCCTTGACAAGTGGGTCGCATGACTGGTTTTCCTTGACAAAACAACAAGCGGTTCCTCGACGACCTCGTTAGGCAAGAAGCAATGAGCAGTGTCCAATACACATTTGCAAATTTAATAAGTAATGAGCAGTGCTCAAGAAACATTTGCAAGCGAATGTTTAGTCGTTCCTGTGTTTTATCATTGTCGTGAACGACATACTCTTTCTCAGATATCAGCCTTGTTGGTTTTGGAAAATATATGGATTGCCAAACAGAAATCAGGTGTCTGTTCAACAGAGCACAAGGTCTGAAGCGGTTCTGTCAAATGGATTTTGGGACTGCTTCTGCTCCGGTTGCAGATTTGGCAGAGTAATAAGAGGGATCGTTGTGGCCACATTGTGGTGGGTTGGGGCAAGCCAACCCATGAGGTCAGGGCAATAGTACTGTGTTAAATCTGCCGGAAGTCAGCTTCATGTGGGGGTCAGGTCGAGGGTTGGAGGAGCTAGATCTAACAAATGGTTGAGAGATGTTGTTCAGCACTGGGAGAAGAAAGAAGATCCAAAAAAAGCAGAGGCAGAGTTTGCAAAGTAACAGCACCAGTGCGTTGTGCAGTATTGAAAAGCAAATGAAACATTCTCCGAAGCGGGAATTTTTTTCTTTGTTTATAAATCTTGTCAATAAAGCCATCCCGCAGCTAAACAAACCTGGTTATCGAGTGCCGGGAGGCTTGAGAAAGGATCTTGTGGGAACTGCTGGTTCAAAGACTGCCCCAGAACAATGCTCTCACCACATGCAAATTGGGTATGAGCTTCTGCAAGTGTGAGTGCATTGGTTTTGTGATCCTAGTCTTTGGCTGCTTTCCCCGTGTGGCCAGCAACCTGCTTTCTTCCTCTTGTTCTCCTTCACTTCCAGATATGGACAAGAATCAGCACAAATGTGACTTTTTAATGTCGTCTCTTATGAGGGAGACAGGAGTGGGACAACATTAAGGATGTGAGAACGGATATGTCGTGGATGGAGCGTTGGATAATGAATACATTTTTGTGGATGTGGTTTTCCAATCATTTCCGTATGTGGGGATGCGGGTGGGGGGGGGGGGGGGGGAGAGAGAGAGAGAGAGAGAGAGAGAGAGAGAGAGAGAGAGAGAGAGAGCATAAGTTTCTATGGTCTCATAATCCTGTGATTGTTGGTTTGACTGTGACTGCAGACGGCCGTTGAAGTCACCCTGGCAAGTGAGGAAGCGCGCTTCGCCATTGCCACCAAGGCAGTGGCGGTTGGCATTCGATAATGTCGATGGGCGGCTGATTGGGGGTGGAGAGAGAGTTATTGGAAGGGTGCGGCGAGGGGTGGGTACGCAGTTGCTTTCAACTGTTGTTTCTGTTTCCCTATTTCTGCTTTTTTCTGCCTTCCTCCGTCTTGTGTGCCTGCCTAACATGTGGGTGGGAGCGATTTGACTTCAGATATGAACCGTATGGCCATCTGTGAGGTACGTTGTTAGAAACGGAGGGTGTCAGGATGCTGGCAAGGTGATCTTCCCCTGCCGACCCCAAAAGTGTAGGGTACTCAGTGCATGTGGGGGTTACTCACGATGCCCTCGTGAAATTCATACCTTGCAGAAATACACCTTGTAGGTTTTTGTCTCTCACTCCGTTCTTCTGTTTTCTACTCTTTTCTCAGCCTACTTTCATTCGGGGACAGTATGATCCTTGTGATTCTTGCTGTGTTATGATCCTATTCCATCCATAATGCAAACCTCAAATTGCAAGAAATGCAAGAGTTCCTCAACTTCACAAGAAACAATGGGAGAGATAAAGAATATAATAGATGAAAGAGAGAGGGAGAGAGAGTGCCAGAGATGTAGTCTCCGGTGTCACTTCCCACCCTCGCTTCGCTCTCTGCCTCCTCTGCCACCCC